AAAAAAAAAAAAAAAAAAAGTGGTGGATAGATTACTAACGATCAATAAAATTAAATGGATAGATTGGATCTAATCCATTATTTATCTTTATTATAATGGATGAATTTGATGAATTTACTTGTGGAGGAATCAAATGGATGATGAATAAATGAATTCATTTACAACCCTAATTCACTATACTTACTCTAGGAGATACCATGAATAATTATCATATTAAGTTTTGCTAAGCCCTCTTGTCCCATTTAATTCCTTCTAATGACCAAACTTTGATATTTAAATTTATACACTTGAGTTAGAAGAAACAAAAAAATATAAAGAAAAATAACAAAGTAAATGTTAATAAGGTAGGATACCGTACCAAAATCCTTCAAAATCCAATGACATAAACCCAATTTCCATAGCACAAACATATAACAATAACACTAGTAATATACAAATATGCTACACTACATAAAAAAGCCAGACCTGAACTAACAAAGAATATAACACATGGTAGAATGAAGATAAAGGCAACTTATATGAGTTATCCATTTTCATTGATGTTTGATAGTTTTTCCAGCCCGACTCAAACTGGGAAGACCAAAGACCAGTGCTAGACAATCAACCGAGTTGTATGATAACCACATCCAGATCGTTTTACAAAGTGATAATAAGCGTACAAGAGTTTGTTTCAAAAATTCTTGATTTAGGTAATAGTGGAAAACCAAATGTCACCAACATTAAGCTAAAAAATCACCAACTATGATAATGTAGAAGAAACGGGAATTATTATAAATTACTAGTTGAGTTTCGGTTTGGACTTAATATAAACAAGTACTGTTCATGCTATTGTAGCATGGCTGCATGGAAATTGTCCATACTCCATTCCATACCACTTTAGAACAGGTACCATGAAAGTATTATTTTTATCTTTTATTAGTCTTTTAGTTCCTATTCATGCAATTTAATTTATATAGCTAGAATTAGATCTATTCCAATAGATAAAAATTCTTTTTATTCAGGGTGTCTGCTACGGAAGGGGTTTAATTTCTGTCACTGGGAAAAGTTCAATTTTTCCCAGACTTTATTAGGTTATCATTTATTTTTCCTAGTTGCTAATCAGAAGACCAGCCTTAGCTGTGTTTCAGATCTACTTGTCCCTCCCATCCTGTCTATATCTCTGTGGTGTTGCTAAAAGGATATTATCCTACGACAATTCAGTATCAGAAATAAAGTTCATAACGGTCATAGCATCATGTACTTTGGTATGCAAAATGTCTTGGGATATATCCAAGCCCAAGAAATAACTTAGACAAGCAGACCGTTGATGCAGTTTATGCTATGAGAAACCTGTGTCAAGATCAAGTTTGGTTCCATGTGGAGTTTCTAAAAGGTGAGCACAAGCTAAACAAATGTCTACTTCTGGAAGGAGAGGTAGACAATGAATCTGAAGATGATTGACTGACTAAGTAGGGAAGATTTTCCCCCTTACTACAACCAATGTAGGGAGTGCAGAAATCACTGAGTATTGAGTAACAATCAAACTTTTTGAAGATACTACTAGATTAGATTTCTCCACCTGCCAACGATGTCTCTCAAGATAATATTTCAAGAAAGGCAGATCTGAAATCAGTAAGAAAAAACTAATAGAAGGCACAAGAAAACAATATTTTAATGAATAGCCTCTGATCAGTATAAAGGAGACAGAACAGAATGATATGAAAGTATGATTCCCTCCCCATCTCCCCCGTATTATTTATACCCAATCGTCCCCCATCCTCTCAAACTAACTGTTGCAACTAACTAACACATACTAAGGTAACAAACCCACTTTTAATCTGGTGCCTACTAGCAGAAACTATAGACTTTCAACGTGATCTTGCCTCTTGGTTCTTTAAGAGCATAGCAATGAAGATCGTAATGAACTAAGTAGTCAAGAAATTACCAATTGATGAGATTTTTTTGATGGCGGATCAAGATGGAAAAACATAGATTGATAGATATTCAACGAGATCTAAACAACGGACATATTTAAAGTGAAGATATAAATTTAAAGGACAATGTTTTTTTAAAATGTGCTTCAAAGAAGAATAGAGTACACACTATAAGAGTTGATCACTTTAGTCCTTGAATATATAAGCTCTCACTTTGGTCCCTGACTTTGCAAAACATAATTCCCTTTATCAGGGATTGGGCTGGAAATGAGTTGAGCTCAGGTTAATTCAATTCGGTTTGATAACATTTGTTTCGGTTCACAACTCGACTTGAGTTCAACATGAATCTTTTTATCCCACTAGAACTCAATTTGGTTTAAACTCGCTAACAATTCAATTCAGCTCGTTAGCTCAAATCACATGACTTAAGACTCAATTTTTTTTTAATCTTATACATTTCAAAATTTCAATTTAATAATAGATTTTAGATAAAATGATTAATTTTTTTAAAAAAATATAACATATTTTATTAGCTTTATAAGATTACAAGGTACAACTCTAAAGAAATACGATTACAACTAAAGTTTGGATAAATTAAAACTACTCCTCCTTGCATAAAATAATAGAAAACTCAATCCATGATTAAGAAATTCTAAAGTGTTCACTTCTTTTATTATTACTGACTTATAACTAAGTTTTGAAGGTTCTTTCAAATTTTAATAAACTGAAATTAAATAAAAAGTTAATTATATAAATTATATATTTATATGTTGAGGTGATTCATAAACTAAATAAACCGAACAATACACAACTCAATTTTAACTCATTTATTTATTGAATTCAATTTTTGGCTCAAGTTTAGCTCATTTCCAAGTTTCAAACCATTTTCAAGTTGGTTTGATTGATTGTCACCCCTTTTCAGGAACCAAAAATGGGAATTTTATAAAGTTGGGGTCCCGAACAGTAGTTATTTTATAATTTATTAGTTACAGGAAACCACCTAAAGATACAAGACGAACGAAACCTAAATACTAAAAACTTGGAGAAGACTTTCAAGCATGCATGGTACCATGAAGCTGGATGAAGAGGTTTTTATATTAAGTGAGCAGAATGTATGAAACAAAGTGCAAAAGAAGATACCTCAGGTAGCCAATTGGGATTCTCAGCATCAGCCATGACAATGTTGAGCCATTGAGAATTTCTGGTTTCGACTTGGGAAACAAAATTGAGAAGGGAATTGCAGAGTCTGCACTTGGGCGAGTAGAACTCCAGCAACGTCGCCTCCTTCCCGCTCGCCAGAGCCGACGCAAACGCTCTCTGCTCCGCCTCCGACTGCGGTGGACTCGGTTTCTTCTTCCGTCTTGAAACGGAGCTCGCAAAATGGAAAGCGGTTAAGCCAAGGTTCTGGAGAGAATTGAATAGCCAAGGACCCTCGAACTTGCAGGGGCTAGGGTTTGCATCATTCCATGGCCATTTTAAGCAAAACACACCCTGCTTAGGGTTTGGATTAGGATTAGGAATCAAACCCATTTCGTTTCCGGTATCGGAGAGTGGAGAAAGCGCCAAATTATCGAATACAACGTGAGAGAACAAACAACTACAACTAAACAAAATCGGAGTATAGTGTTCAAAATGAAAAATAAAAAGCCTGTCGCTACTTCACGTTTAATCTTTCAGGGTTTTAATAATTCTTATTATTTCAATTTTTTTAATCATTACGGTCAATTTTTTCATCACTTTTTTGTTTATTAAAATACTCTCAAGCTTTTAGATTTTATTCAAATAAATAGATATTTAAAATGAAAAAAAAATGAAAAGGCCAGAAGTTGAATTCTTTTTTATAAAAATTACTAGACTTATATATTATATAATTTTAAAAAAATCCACTAAAACTTAATGGGTATTCGAAATTCTAGTTATAAATTTATTAATTTATCATTTATTTCATGTAAAGACTTTTTAGTATTTTTAGAAAATGTAATTATGTTTTTTTTCTTCAAATTTTTGGATTAACATTTTAAAGTCCATTAACTTTTAATAAATTAGAATTTTTTTAAAAATTTTATTATATAATTAAGATTAAAGGTAAAAACAATGAAAGACATGTAAATAAAATATGTATAGATTTGTGACTTTGAGAAGAATATGATGCTTTAATTAGTAAATTTTCATAATTTAAAAAGATTTAATGGTTAGTTCATAGAAATTTTGAACATAAAAACGAGAATTCAATTTTTTTTATACAAAGAGACTTGATTGTAATAATTAAAAATAAAAACTTGATTGGGATAATTAAAGAAAATAAAAATGATTGCATGTGTTTTGTTTTCACATTTAATCATTATTCTGGTCTTCTTAAAATAATTTAATAAGAATTTAGTCTTCTAAATATTTGTGACATTAGATTAGTTTTCTCAGAATTCAAAGTAGCATCAAATTAGTTTAAATTTTTAAAGAACCATTTCAAAAAAATCTTTTGATGTCACATTAATCTTTAAAATACTTAATTAATGTAAAAAAAGTATTTATAGTATATTTTTATGGATTAAAATGTTCGTTTAGTCTAAATAATACATTAATCTAATTTTATTCTTTTGGTTCCCCTTTATTGTTCGCTAGTCTCTTCCTTCGATGATTGTTACCTTCTTACACAGGGTTCTGCTGCACTCCACGAAGTGACAAGGAAAAGCCGGTTTGACATCCATCATTCCAGCAATAGCACGGTTGGCGTGAAAGAAATTTATAATGCGATATAGTTGTAAAAGGAAGACAAGGGGCTTTTTGACCAAAGTGGAGTCCTTTTAAAAGTTTATTATGTAATTTGGGCTATTTTGTAACTAATTATGTCTTTGGGGTCATTTATAACAGTGTTGCTATGGTCCATAGCGATATCTATGACACGTGGCAATTTTTTGTTATGGTCTACAATGGGCTGGAATGAGCCACATCAATGTCGCTATAGGTTGGGCCAACACAGTTGATGGACTAACAAAAATAATGTAGCCCATAGCGACACCCTCTAAAAAAATAAAACAAAAAAACAAAAATAATAGAAATGTAAAATAAAAATAATAAACTGAGTTATTTATTATATATTTATAAAAATAAAATTAAGTTTTTTTAAAATGTAATTTTAAAATAAATTTTATGTATTTTTTAGAGAGACGCTATGGGCCATAGCGACACAGTGTCGCTATGGGCCATAGCGCCTTGCATTTTTTTTTTTTGCAAAATAATCACGTTTTATTTATAATTATTCGTTTTTCTATTTTTAATTCAAAGTAAACTAACTGAATAATTAAAATAAAATTATATTATATTATGTTAAATTTTAAAAAAACTGTAGAAAAAATAAGTAAATAAAATAAAAACGTAAAAAATAGAAAAATAAGTGTCGCTATGGGCAGCGACACCATTCATTAATTATTTATTTTTTAAATATTAACATTTAATTTTAAAAACTTAATTTATATATTTTTAATATAATATTTATAGAAATAAATAAATTTAATTAAATTTAAATTATCAGTATTTTGTTTAATATAATTAAATATAATATTTTCAGTATTTATATATAATTTGTTTAATATAGTATAATTAAAATTTAAAATAAACTGGGTCACAAAAACTTAATTAAACGTAATATATATTTTTCTCCGTAGTTAAAATAGTGGCACTATGGCCTATAGCGACACTGTGTCGCTATGGGCCATAGCGCCACTATTTTCTCCTTTTTTTAGAATAATTATTAACTTATATTATATAAATTAATTATAATATATATTTTATTAATTGAATTTTCACCGTTTCATATTGAATATATTTTCATGTTTTAAAGATTTTTTTGAATTAATTAGAATTTATATTAGAAAATTAATAAAAAAATGATGTCGCTATGGGCCATAGCAACACTATGTCGCTATGGCTCATAGCGCCAATTACAGTATATATACCCCCTCCCGGCAGTCACGTTTTGTGCACATTTTCAGTCATCATTTGAAATCTTATAAACCCCTCCTACCAGTTACGCTTTGTTCTGATTGAAATTGGTAAGTAAAACTTTATTGTTCTTAAAATATAAATTGTAGCTATTTTGTACTATTTTTTTTTCCAGATATTATGGATCAAATTATTGCTTATATTTATACTGAAAAGATGTATGAAGGTCCAGAAGGTATAACATTTGATGGACCAAGAAAAGAAATGTATATTAAACGAGATATAACTTTAGATATATTAAAGAGAATGATTCACAACAAATCTGGTCTTAAGTCAAATCAAGTGATATTATCTGTAAGTTACAGATTTTTAGTTTCACAAGGTGATAACAACATATATGCTTCATTGGAATTGAGTGACGATGATGATGTACAATGCATGATAGAAGCATTTCAGAGCCAGAATGTGATGCCAATAATGGAATTATATGCTTAAATAGGTATGCAAGAATCTTTAACTTTTTCATTAGAAAATTTGTCAATTGAACGATCACCTTTGATCACAAGAGACAAAGATGAAGATGACGAAGCAGATGAAGACTATCATGTTTCAATATCATATGAAAGCATTGATGAATCCAATGAAGATGAAATTGATGATTGTGATCCATCTGATGATGAGGTGCAGCCGGATGTTATTGTTAATAGTCCAATGGTTGAACCAATTTCAATGTATCCATCTACTGAAGGTAACATCTGAAAATTAAATTTGTCAATAATTTGTTATTTGTTTAAAATAAATTGTTGAAATTGATTTTATTGAAATTACTAAATTCATTATTATTAAAATAGGTGGAAGTCAATTTTGGGGTAATTTACCCCACTACACTAACATCAATTGGAATCATCCCGATGAAGAAGATATCCCAGGGATGGATCTCGGTAGTACTTGGTCAATTGGGCAAGATTTATATGTGGGGTTGGAGTTTGAGAATAAAGATGCAGTTAAAAATGCAGTCAAGCAAAATGCAATGAGAATGCATCAAAGTTTTTATGTGGTTGAGTCGAAAAAGACTAAGTGGGTTGTTAGATGTCCAAATGCACATGATGGATGTGGATGGTACATGAGAGCCATTGAGTCAAAGAGATCTGATAAGTGGAAAGTGACTCAGTGGGGTGGACGTCATACGTGTTTGAACATGTCTTTGTCCCAAGATCATGCTAAGTTAGATTCTGAGTTAATTGCAACATTCATACAAGGTAAGTTCTGCAAAGTTTATAGTTTATATTAATAATAATTTATGTTAGTGTTTACTAATATTTAATATGTAGGAATGGTTAACCAAGATCCATCAATCAAGATTAGCCTTATCCAAGAGAGAATAACATCTCAAACTGGGTTTAAAATATCTTATAGAAAGGCTTGGATGGCGAAACAAAAAGCAATTGTTAACGTTTTTGGAGATTGGGAAGAATCGTATGCTTATTTACCTCGATGGCTGCAATACATGAAAGAAATTGCTCCAGGGTCATTTTATGATCTGTGTCATGATGAGTTTTTTGTTGGTAATCGTTGTGATCGTGGTTACCGTCAATTTCACAGATTATTCTGGACATTCACGTCGTGTTGTGATGCCTTTAATTTTTGTAAACCCTTGATACAAGTTGATGGCACTCATCTATATGGCAAGTATCGAGGTACATTGCTCATTGCTACAACTCAAGATGGTAATAACAACGTTCTTCCTCTTGCATTTGCTGTTGTTGAAGGAGAAACATTACTTGCGTGGTCGTGGTTCTTGTCTCATTTGCGGTTACATGTTACAAACAAAGAAGGGATATGTTTAATATCTGATCGACATCGTAGCATTAAATCGGCCATTGACAATGAGGCAATTGGTTGGAGACCGCCAAATGCATATCACAAGTACTGCATTAGGCACATTGCAAGTAATTTTAATACTCGATTCAAGGATGTGAAACTTAAACAAAAGCTTGTGAAGTTAGGTACGTATTGTTATTTTAAAATTTTTAATCATTTGTAAATATTTTATTGTGCATTATTTATAATTTGTGCATTATTTATAATTTGTATGCAGGGTATACACCGTGTAAGCACATTTTTGATCGCAATTTGCAAAAGTTTTGTGAATCTAACCCTGATGTTCAAAGGTGGATAGGAGCTATATCAAAAGACAAATGGAGTATGACATATGATGCAGATGGTCGAAGATATGGTCACATGACAACAAATTTGTCTGAATGTGTTAACAAGGTGTTAAAGGATTGTAGAAATCTCCCTATCACTGCATTAGTTCGGTCGACGTATACCAGGTGCGCTGAGTATTTTAGTAATCGTGGTAGTCGTGCTTTAGCCGATGTTTCATCTGGGAAGGTCTTCGTTTCAAAGTTGGTTGAAGCTTTGCAAAAAAATCAAGAAGAGGCTTGTTCCCACCAAGTTTGTAGATACGACATTGAATCTTCAAAATTTGAGGTTCAAGAGGCATTTGATCCAATAACACAAACAGGAGGGAAGAAATGGGTAGTGAATTTAAAGGAACGATACTGTCAATGCGGAAAGTTTACAGCATTTCATTATCCTTGTTCTCATGTTATAGCTGCATGTGGTGTTGTTAGCATTGATTACTACCAGTTTATAGATCCTGTTTATACCAGTGATTATGTTTTAAAAGCCTACTCTGGTCCGTGGGAACCAATCGGAAATGAAGACTTAATCCCTCCGAGTAATGAGGATTGGATACTTGTCCCAGATCCAACATCAGTGCGCGGGAAAGGGAGACCGAAATCCACAAGAATTAGAAACGAAATGGATTGGGTTGAGAGCTCACAACGACGACCAAAATGTAGCATATGCAAACAAGAGGGTCACAACAGGCGCAATTGTCCATCTAAGTCTAATAATCAGTCGATAAGTTTTGAAGATGTTTAGAATTTGTTAAACATATTGTAATTAGTAATGTGTATTCATGATGGTCATTGTATAACATAATGTAATTACTATTGTCTATTCATAATAATACAATATCTACTCATCATCGTCTTCCTCATCTTCCTCATGATGATGCCCTCTAACAGTAGCAGGAGTTAGAATACACCGTCGTGGTCTTTCCCTTGCAACCCTTTGAGGATTTCTTCAAACACGTAATTGTTCTGGATGTGATGGTGGATGACTAGCCTCCGCAGAAAATTCTGGACGCAAATCAACACCTGCAACGTCAAATTTGACACAAATTATAAATATTCATAATAATTATAAGAAGAAAAGAATAACAAAATAATAAAATATGACACGACCTGATGTATAAGCACGACTGATATAATCATGATCATACGGAATATGAAAAGGTGCTTCCTGACTCGGTTGTGTGGCATCCTGTGGCAGACTTGGCTGTGGAGTTATTAAAAGGGATTCTCCAAAAATATGATCCATCATTTCTGATGACATACCAGGTTCTGGTGATGAGTCTAAACCAAGTGACTCACAGATATGTGTAGTAGTCATCGGAACTGATGTCTCAAAACCTGGTGAGTGTGGTGGAGTGTACCAATATGTATATTGGGATTGCGATGGATAACTGGGCTCTTAAGAAGGAATATAATATAACCATGCTGCTCTGTCTGGCAATGTAGGGTAAATGTGATCCATCGCCTTAATTGTCGTTCTTCGTCGAGATAACCATGCAGCCTCCCTTGACTGTGGAGGAACATTGAAAGTCCCAACGTCATATGAACCAAAGGGAACAGGTGCTTCCTCAGCTGGCTCAACGAATCTAGCCCTATAGTCATCAGATATCGATAATAATCGATTAGACTGCTCTGTGACTGATTCCACTGAAAAGTCTGGCCTATCATGAGGAGATGTCAAGTATGCCAAGCATTCAGTTACGTCTCCCTACATATAGAAAAAATAATAAAATTAGTTTACAACTTTATAATTGTTGAGATTTCCGTTGAAACACTTTTGTTAATATTTGTAAATTCGTTTAATTCTATCAACAGTCTCAAACACGACAAGTATACCGGCCGTTCAAGTAGTAAAAATATCGTATCCACAGGGATTAGAAGGTAAAATAAGCATTTATTGACTATTCGTGACTAAAGAATAATTCCAATTTCATAGTTTGTCATGTGAATTCAAAGTTGTGACTATTGGAATGAAAGCTATAAATAAATATTGGTTTGTGAGTGGAAAATGATAGAATGGTATAATGGTTTTGTGAGGTTGTGGGGGTTAGATTTCACCAAACGTCATACTAATGAATCCTTAATCTCTTGTTACATACATTGCTTAGTCAACCCATAAGTTTACTCAAACCTAATCCCTTAGAGAAAGAGCCTAGGTGCGGATATTGAATATCAATCCCTTGAGTACCCAATATCTACACCCGCATTACGGGCTAGGGTTTAAGACTACTAATGGGTCAAGCTCTATCCCTATATACAATATCCACTAGGCATATGTTCCAGAACTAGTTTCAATGGTATTTTCCAATACTCAATGGAACCTTAAATCATGCAAAGGGTGATCAATCCAAAGCAAGCATTAAGCGTAGAAACGTACACAACAAAGAATGAAACAATACATATATATATATCATTAAAAACGTAAGGATTACAATAGAGTACGTTGGTTACATCTAACCCCAGAATGGGTGGAACCACTCAACAATGAGGGTAAATACAAAATAGAGATGAAAGGAGAAGTGAAGAATCGAAGGAAAGATCCACACACGAACGTTCCCAAGCTCGGAGAATCCCTTCTACCGCTCCAAGGAGGCGCCCCTGCGTGAATTAGGGTTTCTCCCTCGAAAATGGCTTCAAATACGAGCTTGGGGAGATCAGATTAGGGTTTCGCGCCCGGCACGTAAGTCTTCGCGCCCGGCGCAGGGTCTTTTGAGCACTCTCTGCCTCAGTGTAAGCCCGGCGCAATTTCCTTTTACGCTCGGCGCAATACCTTCCAGAGAGTTTAAGGTACTCTCTGTCTCGATCACGCCCGGCGGAGGTAGTCTCGAGCCCGGCGCAGGCGTGACTTTTAGAGGTGGAACACTCTGTTCTTCTCAAGCCCGGCGCGGGTCATCTTGCGCCCGACGCATCTACTCTGCTCTGCTCCCTACTCCTTAGATTTCCAATCCTAAGGTCTTCCATCCTCAATTCACTAGCTCAATACCTGCACAAAAAATGAGGTGTATTAAGGTATTGTTAGCTAAATATGGGTTAGCTATATCTGCACAAAAAGTGAATTAAAAAGGAGAACAATTATATTGCAATGGTTCAGAGGATGAGTGGAATTGTTCAATAAGTCTCATCCAAAAAGAAGTAAAATTGAGACTTAACAATAATTTAACAAAATAATATATTAAAATATGAGTTGTAATATGCACATACCACAATTGAGTCTTTAACTCCATCAGGATCAATGTACAACTTCCCTTTTCTGCGATACCACCTCATGTATTCAGAATTTGGACCTAATAGTCCAACCTGTGGAGGAGTAGGTGCAAAGTGGTATGCATATTGATTGGCCCAATGCTCAAGTGCTGGACTTAATATTGTAGTCCAATCATCATCGGTCTTTCCCCGCAGGGTCAACGCATGCACATGAGCAGGAGTCATCGGAGGATTTGGAATTGGTTGTTGGCAACCAAATTGCCTCATCACCCTATCAGGCTGATGCCATTCACAAATACACAAAGAAAGTAAGGGGATTACAGAACCCCAAATACGAATCCTCTGTGTGCAGTCCTCGGGCATTTGTTCCAAAGGCGGATATGGTTGCCAAATAATATGTAAATAAAATTATTTAATTAGTTTATATTAAAATACTAATAAGTTACATAATGAAAATCGCAAACCCTAAAATTTTAGTTACTTACAGATTTTCTGGTCAAACGATCAAAGAATTTGCGATAAAATTTAATATCATCGCTCATGCTTATTTTAGTGGCTGTGTTGGACCACCTGAAATCAAAATGTAAACAATTAATTTCTCTAAATTTTATTGAATAATTTTAAAAATGTTAATATTTGAATTTGATCATACCTTAAACCAATAGGACTGCCTGGAGGAATATGTGGGAATGGAGAAGAGAGAATGGTTGGGAATCGTTCCCATGCCCACAACTGCAATAAAAGTGTAAACTCACCACAACTTGGCGTTTTGTAATCAGTAGAGGTGCATAAATTGCGATACAAACATCCAAGCACAGCTGCACCCCATGCATATGTCTTAATAGTTTGAAAGTCACCTAAGAACGCCAACCACCTTAATGAGACATAGCTTGAAGATCTATCAGGAAAAAGAAGTCCTCCTATAAAACGTAGTATCCAAGCTCTAGCATAAGGAAGCAACTGATGTAGCTCATTTATATCATCTGCAATCTCATTAAAGTTTGTTGCCAACCAAGATAACTTAACCCGATGTCCTTTAATTTCTGACTGAGGTGGAACAACACCTAAAAAATCATGAGCTGCATAAAATAAAACAAATTATTTACCGATTATTAATATTATAAAAGACAATTAGTATAACAAAAAAAAAACTTAAAGTATAGTTATTTTAGTACCTAATTCCAATATATTAGCACTGCCTCGACTTAACAGTGCTTCACCGTCAACTAGAAGACCAACAAGCATACCAACATCTTGAAGAGTAATTGTGCATTCTCCAAATGACATGTGAAATGTGTGTTTCTGGTCTCCATCGTTCTACCAAAGCAGTTAACAAACTAGGACTAACTTTGATATAACTCAAACGAGCAATCCATCCAAATCCTGCATGGTCTAATAACGGAACTATTTGATGTGGAATTCCGTCAATTTCATTGCGCATTGGAGCAGCACGTCGTGCTATTAATCTCCTATCATCTTCTCTATTCCAAACATGTTGTGAAACATGTATATTTTGCAATGTTAATAAATCATCCTCAACGGGTCCACATGTCACACATATAGATGTAGAAGATGATGTCATCTATAACAAAAAATAACAACACATTATTTCATACATTATATAAAATATAAATAAACTAATATAAAAAACTGTAATATAACACTAAATAAATTAAAATGATATACCCCATAATAACTTTACAAAAATTATAGGAAAAAAATTCAAATATAACTAAATAAATTACACATAATTAAATTAAATCATTTTTTAATAAAATGTAAATTACATAGAATAAAATTAAATCAATTTAAAATTTAAATAAAATTATTTTTAAAATAAATATAAATAACACATAATTAAATTAAATAAATTTAAAATTTAAATATAATTAAATTTTTAATAAATATAAATTACACAGAAAATTAATTCACTCAATTTAAAATTTAAATATAATTATTTTCTAAATAAATTTAAATTACACAGAAATAAATTAAATCAATTTAAAATTTAAATATAATTATTTTTTTAAATAAATATAAATTACACTGAAATAAATTATATCAATTTAAAATTTAAATATAATTATTTTTTAAATAAATCTAAATTAAACAGAAATAAATTATAAAATCTCAAATTTAAATAAAAACATTTTTAAATAAATTGCTTCAAATGATATAGCCTATAGCGACTTCACATTAATTACAGAAAAAAAACAAATATATAAATATATCTAAATAAATTTCAGAAAATAAAAAATTTTAAAAAATCTAAAACACAAAATACCTCCTATGAAGATGAATATATCCCGAAAAAAACACCAACAACCTGAAACAATTAAAATATATTGTTACACAAATTAAAAAAAAAACTGAAAAACTGGAAAACCCTTTTTTACATTATTTATTTAAAATGATATAGCCTATAGCAACTTTAGAATCATTACAGGAAAAAAATATAAATATAACTAAATAAATTACACAGAATTAAATTAAATAAATTTAAAATTTAAATAAATTTAATTTTTTAATAAATATAAATTACACAGAAACGAATTAAATCAATTTAAATTTTAAATATAATTATGTTTTAAATAAATATAAATTACACAGAAATAAATTAAATCAATTTAAAAGTTAAATATAATTATTTTTTCAATAAATATAAATTACACAGAAATTAATTAAATCATTTTAAAATTTACTTATAATTGTGTTTTAAATAAACAAAAATTACACAGAAATAAATTTTATCAATTTAAATTTTAAATATAATTATTATTTAAATTAATATCAATTACACTGAAATAAATTAAATCAATTAACAATTTAAATATAATTATTTTTAAAATATATATAATTTACACAGAATTAAATTTAATCAATTTAAAATTTAAAAAATTATTTTTAAAAATATTTTTTTAAAATGGTATAGGCTATAGCGATTTCACAATTATAAAAAAAAATTTACTAACAACTAAATAATTACACACAATCAAATTAAAAAATTACAAATTTAAATTAAATCATTTTTTAAATAAATTACTTAAAATGATATACCCTATAACGACTTCACATTAATTACAAAAAAAACAAATATTTACATATAACTAAATAAATTGCAGAAAATTACAAAATTTAAAATATATAAAATAAAAAATACCTCGTATGATATAATATCCCGAAAGAAACACCAACAACCTGAAATAATACAAATATATTATTACATAAACAATTTAAATAAAATATATAAATTAAAAAAAATTTAAAAACCCAAAAACTTGCTCACTGAAGCAAAGGGAAATTTTCGTAGGGGAGAAGAGAAGGGGGGACCAACGGAGGTGAAAATGTGTATATATAGGATAAGTTGTTTTTTTAACTGTGTCACAGTCACGTGTCAACTTATCATTTGCCACAACCGCGGTAAATTGACACGTGGCAGCCAACATTTAAATTTTTCAACCACCACTGGTAGCGCTATGGCCTATAGCGACACTGCGTCGCTATAGGCCTTAGCGCCACTCATTTTAACGTTATTTTTTATAAATTATATACTTAATTTATTTTTTCCACTTCTTAATTTATATTATCAATTTAATATAAATCTATATTTATATACAAATTTTTTCTGTTATTTAATTATTTTATATATATTTTATTTTTCTTTTTAAGTATTTAAATATTTAAGACTGTGGTAGGCCATAACGTCACTATTTTTTTGGTTTATTTATTTATTTATTTATTAATTTAATTAATTTTAAAATTATTTTATTTTATATTACCAATTCAATATAAATTTCTATTTATAGACTTATTTTTTCTTTAATTTCTTTACTTTTTTATATATTTTTTCCTTTAAATATTTTTCTTACGAATTAAATATGTTTTTAAATATTTATCCTAGTGTCGCTATAGGCCATAGCGCCACCATTTTTTACGTTTTTTTTTTTAATTATTTACTTAATCTGTTTTTTCTAGATTTTAATTTTTTTTATTAAGTTCTTATAATTTATATTTATATATTTATCTTTTCTGTATTTATTTTATGTTATTTTTTTTTCTTTTAATGTATTTTAATTTAACCGGTGGCGCTATGGCCTATAGCGACACTGTGTCGCTATAGGCCATAGCGTCACTTTTTTTGATTCACATATTCGCATTTTTTTAAAAAACTATTTACTTATTTTTTTAAAATTTTTATTTTATATTAAAAATGGAGTACTATAGGCTATAGCGACTTCAGTCAAGCCGTTTAATGTCGCTATGGGCTGTAACGACTTTATCAACATGGCTTTCATGGCTTTCCTGGAGTTAAAAAAATCCACGTGTCACTGGTGTCGCTATGAGCCATAGCAACACCGTTATAAACAGCCCCAAAGGTGTACATTGTTTAAAAAGAGCCCCAACTACGTAAATAACTTCATAAAATGCCCGACTATGGTCAATCAGCCAAGCCAAGGTCGTCAATAAAATGCATATTGTAATGACTAAATATATATTTTAACCTCCTAAAAATAGCAAATTTGAATACTTGAGAGCCCTTTTAACTTAAAAATAATCAGTTATGAACCATTTTAGCTTGACAATTATCTGCTTCAAAGAGATTCCTCAGATAGGCTACTAAATAATATATAATATCGATTACTAAACAACAAATCTCTCCATAATTCACCAGCTAAACAAACACAACATTAACAAGGCCAACAACGCTGCCAATACTTCAAAATAATCCCTATCACAAACATGAAACAAGAGTGCAAATTCTTTTTCTTGTATCATAACTCATAGGATTAAACAAATTGGTCTACAGTATGCAAGTAACACCCTACAACCCTCCTAAACCTTTTACGAATCCCCTTTAATAAAGTTTAAAAGAACAATCTTTCTACAAAAAAGTCCGTACACAACCCAGTAATCAGAGTTCTAACAGGAATGATAGACAGAGGTATCATTAATTGTTTTTTCAACAAATTTTGACCAACAGGCTAATGCAAGTAAACAGGGACAAGTTTGCCACCTGAACTCCATCCGCTCCATATAGAAAATTTTCTATCTATTGCATATACCTCAAGGCAATAAACATCTTTGTTCTACGAATCAAAAACTACTAAGAATTGCATAGTTTGTCACAACGATAAGATCCTCCAGAGAACAAATCATTCAAATAAAAAATAAAAAAAAATAAAAGATGTTTAGTTGACTAAAAAGATCATCAACAAGGAAGAATATACAGAGCACCAATCTGCTATTCACAAACTAAACCCCACTGCATTACTTTGGTTAATAGGTTCCATGATTAGTACCAGGAAAGATAAAAACTAAGCCCCACAGCAACATGAGTTTACTCTCAACAAAAAAACAACAATTTAATAACACAGAAAATGTAGCTAAATATCTGGAGATGAAATTGGTCCCAGATAATCTCCTTCCAAACTGACCAATGCCTGAAATTCCCTATCTGCCTCCATCCATTTGGTACCTATCACTACAAAGCGAACTGTGACATCTTTTCCTATCTTTGACATTTTGTCATTCATGAAACAAGCATTTTCACCAGGAACATAACGGTAATCAGGCATCTTCAAGTTTGAGAGATAGACATTCTCAATTGGACCACATCTCAAGAAAACTCCATGCTTTAAAATCTTGTGGACAACACCCTCTAATATCTCACCATTGAAAAACTTAAAGGTAATGGCATTAAAAACAACAGGGAAGAGCACATCCCCAGTATGTTGTCTGACTTTTCCTTCACCAATTTTCTCCAATGTGGTCACGGCAAGAAAGTAGCCCAGATCTTTGGTAGCCTTCTTCACAGCAAAGTCACTCAGAAGGCGGACAATGATTTCCCTCTGAAGCATCAGACCCTCTGGTTGCAGATTTTCTGCAGCAATGATGACATTCCAGGGCAGCTGGACTTTGAGAAACATTGTTTGTTTCTTCCCGTTGTTCTTTCTGCCATAGAATAAAAAGATATTAGAGTGCTAGTTTATAAATCTAATTCAAAGGCACAAGTATTATTCAAACTAAAAGTTTGCAGTAAACGCTAATAATTAAACTGATGGATATCAATTTTGTTCCTAGGAGACAAGTGTCAGTATGTCACCAAAATCACTATTGTACTAGGAGATCATATAGTTATGAGCTATGACACTAATGACCATTCATATATAGATAAACATGTAAGCTTTTCTAGATTCCAGCTTCTCGGATAAAGACACACATGTTCCAACTTACTGCATAAAATGCAACTAGATACAACATTTTATACTAGATGGCTGATGCTCTTTAAACAATAAACTTATCATACAAATTCTATCAAAACCACATTTATCTACTTGAAATGTATGTTCTAGTAAAGACAACTACAGTTGAAATAATGAGGTATGATGCTTGTACACACACGTTCATACTTATTACATAAAACGTGAATAGATACAAATTTTTTCTTCTTCATGACCTTTGAGCTATAAACAATCATACATTTTTTTCCAGATAAGTGCCAAAATTATCTACTTAATCAAATATATTTTCCTTGTACCTATGAATATGGTTGCAATAATGGTGATGGTGATATACTGATATGATGAGTTGATGACCAAATAAACTGCTGGAAATGCTCAAAAATTGTTCGACACAAATTCATATAATGACAATGTGAACATTGTGAAGCTGCCTTAACCAAATCATGGCCATCAATTATGCTGTCAATTTTACAAAGACAATTGCAAAAACTCCACAATGATGGGGGCCTCCTGCAATTGACCACCACCACCACTTTTATTGACAGATGCAGAGGCCTGACTCAAGGTAGCAGCTCAATTTTGACTTAAAGCCACCAAACCAAAGAGGTATAAATACCATAAACAGTTCATTTAAAAGAATATGAAACAAAGTGTGTGCAAAACAATACGCTACTTCTCCACTAAAACACACAGAAATGCGCGCACAAACGCGAAGGCAGTTGATTTTCAAACCCAGAAATATTAATATAAAATATTCCACAAACTAAAACCTAGCTTTTCTGATTTTCAAAAGCCTAATAAACTAAAGTTCTCCAATGCCCATTTACCACAACGCAGCATGCGGTTTGCACAAACAAAACTAAAAGGGATTCATTGACTGGGAAAACCGCTAAGGATGATGCGTATTTGAAAGCAGAAAACAAAATTGCAAAGAAAACATTGCAAGGGCATAACCTTAAACCCTTACTTAGAAGCGAAACGACAGGGGATGCGAAAACGAGAGTGAGACTGAGAAGCGAAGCGACAACGGCGTGATCAGAATTTAGTTTTAGTCTGAGTAGTTCGCCCTTACTTCTCTACGTTTCACCCTTCGATGTCTGACACGTGTATACCACAAATTATGTTACTTTTTTTTATTTATTATTATTTAAAGTGATAAGAGAAAATAATATATACATATGATAGGCTTATACGGTTGTCAAGTTTATTTTTACTTTTAATGTAATCTTAATTATTTTTAAATTTTTTTTTATAAATTATTCAACAACTATAATTAAAAATAATGTATTTATGAAAATAAATTATTTTAATAAAATTATATTATAAAAAGTGATAATTATATTATTATTCTTAATTTATGTATAAAAATCTCAAATTGTCATTGTTGTAAGATCTTAATAATATTTTAAAAATAAAAAATAATAATAACTTTTTATCAAATAATACTTTAATATTGATTAACTAGTTGTAAAGTACATCAAAATTAAACTAAAATTTTAATGTATAAATTGATATTTATTTATTTACTATTGATATATTAATTTAATTTACATAATTTAGAGAAAATATTTCAATATTTAAAATTTAAAATTAGATTACAAAACATCATAATAATTTATCTATGTTTAAAAATATATAATATTTTTTAAAAATATTTAAGTATATTTTTTATTTTAGTATATTTAAAAGTTTTACATCATTTATATCAAAACGAATAATATCTATGAGATGACTCTAAAGATATAAACTTACAATTTGAAGATCTTTATTGATACTAGAAGGGTAGACGCACTTCGTGCTTCTAATAGTTATTCAGTAATAAAATATTAGAAAATTGTGTATAATTATTTAAAGAAAATTTAAGATTTTTTTTATATCTGGATATAAAGAGTATAATGGTCTGTTAAAAAATAGAGACTAAAAAGCAATTACATCTCCTATATCCCCTTTATTATAGATATAAATTATATATATATATATATATATATATTAACAAACGAAAGTTAATCAAAGGAAAAAAAAAAAAAAACTAAACTAAACTAAAGGGTCACAGCATTCATTCCTATCGCATGCAACACAAAGGTGGGAGGACTTCGCCACCTCACATTATTTACAAAATCAATAGCACCTCACCATACTAGAGCATGAGCCATTCCATTGATACTCCAAGGTATGATGGAAAATGAAGCTTCTCAATTCCTTGTCAATTTATCTTTTATTATGCTAATAACACGTTGGTACCATGAATCCATCTCCTGATGTGGACCTGTAACAGCAGATACTACCTCCTGGCAGTCGAATTCACAAATTAATATACAAAATCCCAACTCCCAACAATTCTTAATGCCCTCTTCCATAGCCAAAAGTTTTACCCTGATGGATTACCATCAAAATAAGAATTAGCAAATCCAACTATCCATTTGTTGACCACATCTCCCACCAGTCGCTTATTCCAATGGTATGAGTTTGGTTTGACCAACTCCCATCAACATGAAGTTTCAAACAAGGTGCTTCTGGTGGCAACCACACAATATTATCAATCCAAAGTGAATGTTTCGTCAGATACAGGGAGTTCTGTGAAATTGAATATCCAATCATGCGGGTCACGTATTTCATAAAACACTCATTTCCATGAAACACCATATTATTCCATAGTCTACATGTCCACCAAGCAATCATAGTAAGGTGCACAACTGCTGAATGAATCACCAATAATTGGAACCAGCTAAAACAATCTTGTGTGGATGAGAATATAAAAGATGAGACATTTCCAACTAACCATATCTCCTGGGAATGAGAACAACCTCGAATTGCATGTAGAACATCTTCTCGCATGTAGGAGCGCTGAGAGCAGGCTTCCTCCAAAGCCAAATGACATTGAAATCTCTGGCCATTTGTTGGTAGAGCTGAATGTAATCCTTGCCATGAAAAGAATTTCACCTTCTTTGGTATATGTAATCGTATAGTCTTCCAAATAGAGTCCTATGTGGGTGTTGTAGTGCGGAGAAGAAATTTAAATCCCGAAGCTGTTGTGTATCTCTTAGACGCATCTCCTCTCCAAATGAAGGTATCTCGACCTTATGGTAAAGTTGGAATCCTAATTTGTTGTATTCAATCCAAGTTGACCTGGGAAAGTTGTGTATATAGAGACCCCAAGTTCCACGACCCTTCCATCTAACAACGAGCAATCGTTAAATATTAATCACAAATATGAACGTACGATACCTCATGACATAAGGGACTGGTACCCATCCAATCATCAAACCAGAATGATGAAATCCCTGCCCCTAGTTGTACTTCAAAACCTTCACATAGGAATGATAGCGCCCTGGTAATGTTGTTCCACACATAAGACATGTTTCTCCTTGTAATAACCTGTAAAATAGACCTATCCCGGAGATATATATCACAGATGGCTTGAAACCATGGTTTCTAAGGAGAGTGTATTAGGTCCCTTATTATCTTGCCAATCAAAGAGATATTTTTCGGTCGAGATTCTCTAATACTCAAGCCACCCATCTCTTTTGGTTTAGTGATGGTATCCCACCCAACCAGGGATCAAAATCTAGCATTACCCTCTTTCGTCCAAATCAACAACATGCACAACTGGTTTATAAGATTGCACACCCCTTGTGGAATCCAAAGGGATTGCATGTTGTAAGTAGGTATGGTTGTGATGCTAGAATTGACAAGACATAACCTACCAGCCTTATTAAGAAGTCGCCCCTTCCGAGATGCCAATCGAATCTTAAAGTGTTCTACAATGTGATGGAAATCAGAAAGCTTGGGTTTCCCTTGGATCATGGGTATACCCATGTATTTATCCATTTGGGGTGAGCTAAAGATGCATATTCCCTCCAATTGGGCCTTCCTATAAAAAGGGACACGATTAGATATCACAAATTCATATTAGTCCATGTTTACCTTAAGACCAAAGATGTTACAAAAGCCTTCTAACGTTGATGTAACTACTTGAACTAATTGATTTGTAGTTGCTTTGCAAAAAATGTGATGACATTGCCAGCAAAAAGGTGTGAAATGGGAGGTTTATTATGTGAAAGCTTGATAGGCTCCCAAATTCCTACTTTGTTCCATTCATGAATCTGGAGGGCCAAATGCTTCATACATAAAACAAACAGATATGGTGAGAGGGGATTTCCTTTACAGAGGCCCCGAGTGCAAAAGGATACAATTTATTCCCATTCCATAGTATTGATAGAGACAAATTAGTCACGCTCCACATGATTAACCTACTTTTCCTTGTTGGGAATCTAAACCTCCTTAGAGTGGCTCGAAAGAAATTCCAGTTAACTCTATCATATTTTTTTCTAGGTCAATTTTCAGAGTCAAAGTGCTTGTTTGAGACTTGTCCTAGTGAATAAAGTTAGGAGCTTCCTGAGCCAGAATACTATTATCTAATGTTCCCATACCAGGTATAAAACTTCGCTGTAAAGGACAATAAGATCATCCAAGAACGGACAAAGGCAAACAACTAGTACCTTGTACGCTTCATTACATAAGTTGATCAGACGAAACTCATTAAGATGCACCGGATTATCTACCTTAGGCACAAGAACAATAAAGGTCTCTAAAAAAGTTGGATTAGAATAAACATGTTGGAAAGCTCCCTCAACTAGTCGCTAGCGCTCGTCCCCTACAGTGTGCCAATATTGTTTAAAGAAAAAGGGCTAAAAGCCATCTAGTCTAGGGGCCTTGAAAGATTTCATGCTGATAACAACCCGTTGTACCTCCTCATTGCTAACAAGAGCCAACAATCTTGAGACAACCTCCTCCCCTAGCTTTGGTGAAAGCCATTCGACATGTCTGTAGATGAAGTCATATGATTCGCAGGAAATAGTTTCATAAAGTACCACTTCACGTCAGCTTGAATCACTGTCTGATCTGTTTGCCACATACCATTCATAAGAAAGATGCCACGAATCTTGTTCTTTCTTCTTCTAATAAGGGTTTGTGCATGAAAGAAGCTGGTATTACAATCTCCAAATCAAACCCATTCCTCCCCAGATTTTTGGTACCACGTGGTGTCAAAGTGATCTTCCATGTGACCTCGCTTCTCCTCATTACAACATGGTGTAGACTCATGATCCTTCGCAATAATGAGCGGTTTTACTAGCATTTCTGATGCCTAATAATTCCCCAAAGAGATTGTATACTTAGGAGACCCGTCAGAAGGGCCATCACGATATCTCCCAACAGTAGGCTGTAGCTGATTCACAATGTGCCCAAGATTCGAAGATTTTTTTTGTTTTGTTGCTTCCTATTTTTTTGCTTCACCACCAGCCAGTCCCCATGCGGATTAGGGGCATGATTAGTTAGGATTACCGAGACAGTAGCGGTTACTGAATCTGGAGAAAGTGCAGCACTTTGACCTAATAATCCTTTGACGATCCTAACCTGACCTTGGTTGCTTCTACATTACTATCAAACGGAGAATTTGGAACTGGTATAGCGGTGGGATAGTTATGAGCTACATGATCGTAGCACACACACACACAACGCATAGGAGGTGCAAGCCCTCGTATTCAACATTATACCATACACCATTGAGGAAGAATTTCCCCATCGTTGATTATCTAGTCCAATTTCAACACGAACTTGCCTCTAGTCATGTTTAATGTTTTAAGATCAACCTTGATAGGCTTACTAATGGCTAACGCAATAATTAGAAGAACCCTCTCATCATAAAAAACCATGTCGAGCCTTGGAAATCGCACCCATACAAGCATACTATCCACTTTAGCCTCTGATGCCATAAAGTCAGGAGACCACGGTCGAGCGATCAAATGGTGATCAAAAATCATCAAAGGTCCCCTTTGCATCACCCTTTCTCGATCGACGTTAATATCAAACTTTACCATGAAATAACCATGAGATACATCCATGAGTTCAAAGCCT